GGGGGGGGGACAGAAGGGGTACCCCCCCCCCCCCCCAGCCTCAACTCTGGGAGCTATGAGGGGACACGAGCTGATGGGGTGTCCCCAAATATCCAGTATCCCCCCCCTCAGCGGGTGCTGGGGGCACCCAGTCTCCTTCTTGTCCCCTAACTGGGGACGGAATGGGGATCCCCCCTCCCTGTCCCCCAACTGAGGACAGAGTAAGGGTCCCACCTCCTTGTCCCTCAGCTGACAGAGTGGGGGTCCCACCTCCTTGTCCCCCAAGTGGGGACAAAGTGGGGGTCCCACCTCCCTCTCCCCCAACCGGGGACAGAATGGGGGTCCCCCATTCCTGTCCCCCAACTGGGGATAGAGTGGGGGTCCCACCTCCCTTTCCCCCAACCGGGGACAGAATGGGGTTCCCCAATTCCTGTCCCCCAACTGGGGACAAAGAGGGGGTCCCACCTCCCTGTCCCTCAGCTGACAGAGTGGGGGTCCCACCTCCCTGTCACCAAACTGGGGACAGAGCGGGGGTCCCACCTCCCTGTCCCCCAACCAGGGACAGAGTAGGGGTCCCCCATCCCTGTCCCCCAGCTGACAGAATGGGGGTCCCACCTCCCTGTCCCCCAACTGAGGACAAGGCGGGGGTCCCACCTCCCTGTCCCCCAACCGGGGATAGAAGGGGGTCCCTCCTCCCTGTCCCCCAACTGAGGACAGAATAGGGGTCCCCCATTCCTGTCCCCCAAGTGGGGACAGAGTGGGGGTCCCACCTCCTTGTCCCCCAATTGAGGACAGAATAGGGGTCCCCCATTCCTGTCCCCCAAGTGGGGACAAAGTGGGGGTCCCACCTCCCTGTCCCCCATCTGACAGAGTGGGGGTCCCACCTTCTTGTCCCCCAAGTGGGGAAAAAGTGGGGGTCCCACCTTCCTGTCCCCCAACGAGGGACAGAGTAAGGGTCCCCACTCCCTGTCCCCCAACTAAGGACAGAGTGGGGGTCCCACCTCCCTGTCCCCTAATTGGGGATAGAGTGGGGGTCCCCCATCCCTGTCCCCCAACTGGGGACAGAGTGGGGGTCCCACCTCCCTGTCCCCTAATTGGGGATAGAGTGGGGGTCCCCCATCCCTGTCCCCCAACTGGGGACAGAGTGGGGGTCCCACCTCCCTGTCCCCTAATTGGGGATAGAGTGGGGGTCCCCCATCCCTGTCCCCCAACTGGGGACAGAGTGGGGGTCCCACCTCCCTGTCCCCTAATTGGGGATAGAGTGGGGGTCCCCCATCCCTGTCCCCCAACTGGGGACAGAGTGGGGGTCCCACCTCCCTGTTCCCCAGCAGACGGAGTGGGGGTCCCACCTCCCTGTCCCCTACTTGGGGATAGAGCGGGGGTCCTCCCTCCCTGTCCCCCAACCGGAGATAGAGTGAGGGTCCCACCTCCCTGTCCCCCAACTGACAGAGTGGGGGTCCCACCTCCCTCTCCCCCAACCGGGGACAGAATGGGGGTCCCCCATCCCTGTCCCCCAGCTGACAGAGTGGGGGTCCCCCATCCTTGTCCCCCAACCAGGGACAGAATAGGGGTCCCCCATTCCTGTCCCCCAATTGGGGACAAGGTGGGGGTCCCACCTCCCTGTCCCTCAGCTGACAGAGTGGGGGTCCCCCATCCTTGTCCCCCAACCAGGGACAGAATAGGGGTCCCCCATTCCTGTCCCCCAATTGGGGACAAGGTGGGGGTCCCACCTCCCTGTCCCTCAGCTGACAGAGTGGGGGTCCCACCTCCCTCTCCCCCAACCGGGGACAGAATGGGGGTCCCCCATCCCTGTTGCCCAGCCGGGGACAGAATAGGGGTCCCACCTCCCTGTCCCCCAACTGAGGCCAGAGTGGGGGTCCCCTAACCCCCCCTTTCTGCCCCCCCAGGAGCGCGGTGCCAGCGGGACGAGGAGTGCGGGCCGGGGGGCTGCTGTGCCCGGCAGCACGGCGAGCGGGTGTGCCAGCGGCGGCTGGCGCTAGCCCAGAGCTGCCACGTCCCCCCCGGGGGGCTCGCCTTCAGCATCAACCAGATCTGCCCCTGCCAGGCCGGGCTGGTCTGCAGGGCCACCCCCCCCGGGCGAGAGTGAGTAATTTGGGGGGGGGGACACACACACAACACCCCCTCAAGGTGGGGATGGGGAGTGGGGGGACACCCAGGTCCTGCCTGGGGTGGGGGGGTGGATG